GCTGGGGATTGAATCCAGGGCCTTGTGCATGTGAGGCAAGCACTCTACCAATTGTGCTGTATCCCCAGCCCTGGAAAAAATTCTTGCACGAGTAGAATTATAATCTGAGCTACAGGTTTGCAGACTATGTTAGTTCTGCTGGCTGAATCCTGTCCAATGCAGGTGTTGCAAATAACGTCTTCTTGGAACACAGCCATGCCCATTCACTCACTTGTTGTCTATGGCAGCGAAAAAAGCAGAATTGAATATTCAACACAGACTGTATGGCCCACAGCAAAATGTACTGATTCTCTGTCCCTTTGCAGAACCAGTGGTTCTCAACCTTGGCTGCAAGTTCAAATTTCCTGGAGGGCTTTTAAAAACTACTAGACCTGGGCCCTATGCTGTCCCTAGATTTATTTAATTGGCCTTTGATGGGGGAGGCAATATTTTGCGTGTTTCTTTAAAGCTCCCCAGGTGGTTCCTGAGTCAAGATCTACTGGTTTAGATAGACTGTGTATGTCCCTTCTAGCAGCAGGAATGCGACTTTGTTATCCTGACTGCCAGGAGCAATACACTGAAAGTATCTTTAGGTGCCTGGGAAAGAGTCAGCCTTATCTCCAGTGAGAAGGTGCTGACTCACCCTGGATTCTTGGGTCAGGTGGTGGTGAGGCTTGACCTTATCAGCCATCAGTCCTGCCAACATTCTTTCGGAGGCTCCAAGCCCATCCCACAAAAACTATCTTCCCTCGCTCCTAGCTAAAGGATTTCTCATCTGCTGTCTGAGTTAGGATAAAGGCTACAGTCAATCTGTTCAGACTTTTGTTTTCCTTCACATGAGCATGTTGGAGCAGGCAGGAGAAAAATGGATCATGCAGCATTTTCCCCACATATTAGTCTGCAAGCCTCAATCTTGGAGGCAGTAGTAGAGTACATGTGTTTACTGAGAGATAATCCCCCAGGAGTTCTAGACACAAATTCTTTTATGAATGATGGCATAGTATAGATCAAGTCATTACAAATTCAGTCTTTTAATCTACAAAATGGGGAAGCATAATCATCATCTTCCTTTCATGAAGATTTTTGAAAATAGGTGAAATAAATGTGAAAGGGCCTCTAAAATAGCAAGGTATAATAATTTAAATTGCTGTGGTCCAGCTAAACTATAACCTTATTATTATATCATCTGAAGCAATATTTTATGCCAGAGCCGACTACTTAAGCTATTTAATAGCTCTGCATATTCAACTCTCTAGAGAAAAGAAAGTTTCAAGGTGGCAGTCTGGTCTTTATCATAAACCTTGAGATTAGAGAATGTTTACCAGAGGAAGAACTTTTTATAAATGTTGTAGAGTGCATGCTGTTAAAAAGGGGGTCTGGAATCCTAAAACTCTAAAAATGGTTCTGTTAGACTTATGGGAGGATCTAAGAAACTGAGGCTTTTATTTATAAATTGAAATATACTATTCAAAGTTATACCAGTGTTCACAACTATTCTTAGTATTTGGAGATAAAAGTTATTCATGGTCTTAGGTACTTGAGTTGCCTTATTCCTTGTTTCAGACCTGGGATTTCATAATTGTAGAGACCATAGGTAAAGTTATATGAATGGTATAAGTAAAGTCTGTCATTTGGGATGATTTTAGCTGTAAGTAATGGAAAACTAACTTTCATGGGCCTGGACAACATGGAAATTCATTATCACATAATAGTCCTTTGGGGGCTGGGTGGAGTTTTTCCATTGTTGTATCTGATGGCTCCATGTGTTCTTGGTTTATCAAATTTGATGTCTAGGACTGAGTATGCACCAAGTCTCCTAGAGGAGAGATAGCTACTTGTCAACATTGGAGTTTTATTAATTAGGAAGGAGAAATGGGGGGGAAGGCTGCTGCATTGATGTCCAACAGTACTAACCACATGCTCCTTTATGTATTTCAAGACTCCACTGATTTTTCCCTATGAAATTGCAGGCAGAAGAAGTTTGGTGGTAATGATTTCCAGTCATTGTTACTGATGTTAAACATTGAAGTTAACTTTGCTGAAATCCCGTGGTGGGGTTACTTTCTACTCTTAATGTGATAAATCCCAGGCGATAACCATTGGCATTGTCTTCCTATTAAGTTGACCAGTTGTACACACGTGTAAAGGAGGAGGCAGCCATCTGTAGCCTCATTTGTATATTGCTTCCCTCCAGGGTAGAGGGCCTTTAAGCTCAGGTCTGGGAGATTTAAGTCCCAGGACTTTACTGTGAAGGTTTTCTATAAACAATTTTTTGTCTCTTGAGGGCACATTGTTTGAGTTATTGCTTTCATTACTGATCTTAAATGAAACCCATAAGTCGGGCAATATTTAAGTCATAGGATTTGGAAATAGCCATTTTCATCTAACAATTTTTTTTCAGTGCTGGGGTTTGAAGCCAGGGCTTCACACATGCTAGGCAAGTGCTGTACCACCGAATTACATCCCCAGCCCATGAAATTTGTTTTAAAAATATTTTATTTTGTGTCCTTGAGAGATCACAATTTTAAGTATAAGAATATTTGAGATAAATCTGGCAAATATTTAGCTCCTCCAGATATTTATTTCCAGTAGATCCAGATTGAAGTTCTGACTAAATGGGGCTTGAATAGAAGATTTTCCATAGAACCATTTTTAAAATGGGAGATCTGAACTGCTCAAATTAACTTTGGATGTTGTTCTAATTGAAGTTTTAAATAATCTTGCTGTGTAAGCTACTTGATGGTTTTGAGCTATCCTTTCCAATATAAAGCCAGAAAAGGATTTTTTTCTCTTGCCACATTCTTTGTTGGTATGTTATAGTTGTTCATAATCATGGAATTTGTTGTTACATATTCATACATGTACAAACTATGACAATATAATTTGACCAATATCATTCCCCAGCGCTCCCCCTCTCCTTCCCTACCTTCTAGTCCCTTTCCTCTACTGATCTCCCTTTGATTTTCGTGAGATTCCCCACCATTCCACCTTTCCTTTCCCTTTTCTTTTCTAGTTTCCACATATGAGAGAAGATATACAACCCTGATCTTCTGAGTTTGGCTTGTTTCACTTAACATAATGGTCTCAAGTTCCATTCATTTTCCTACAAATGACCTAATTTCATTTTTCTTTAGGGCTGAATAAAACTTCATTGTGTATATATATGCCACATTTTCTTTATCCATTCATTCTCTGATGATTACATAGTTTGACTATTGTGAATTGTGCTGTTGTAAACATGGGTATGCTTGTATCACTGTAGTATGATGACTTTAATTCTTTAGGCTAATACTATGGAGTGGTATAGCTGGGTCATATGACAGTTCCATGCCTAGTCTTTTAGGAACCTCCATACTGATTTCTGTAGTGATTTTACTAATTTACAATCCCACCAACAATGTAAAAGTGTTCCTTTTTTCCCCCACATTCTCTCCAGTGTTTATTAGTATTTGTATTCTTGATGACTGCTATTCTCATTGGTGTGAGATGAAATTTTAGTGTAGTTTTGATATGCATTTCCCAATTGCTAATAGTGTTGAATAGTTTTCATATATTTCTTGGTCATTTGTATTTTTTTATTTTTAGAATTGTCTGTTTAATTAATTTTCCCATGCATTAGTTGAGTTTTTTGACTTTTTGGTGTTATATTTTTAGAGTTCTTTATGTAGTCTAGATATTAATCCTCTGTTGGAAGAGTAGCTAGCAAAGCTTTTGTCCCATTTTGTAGGTTCTTTTCACATTACTAATTGTTTTCTTTGCTGTGCAGAGCTTTTTAATTTGAAGCCATCCTGTTTATTAATTCTTGTCATTAAGGAAAGGATTTTGAACTAAGTTATAGTTCTAGGCACCTAAGTTAACTGTGTGACAGTCAACCTTTGGTACTCAAACCAAAAAAAGTAAAAGAAGGGGTTATGGCCCTGCTGATGGATTTTCTGAGCAGGTGATATTAAGGACAATAACCAGGAGGCTGATAATACTAGTGTGGAATGACTCGCAGATGAAGACAGATGAGCTGAGGAAGAGAATAGAAGTCAAATTGCCATAATACAAAAGCCTGTAGTTTCAGACACCAAAAGAAAGGAGCCAGAAACATCAAGAAAAAGCTATGCAGAGAGATGGAAGGAGTGGTAGAAATGAGAAACAGCCACTGGCTGCTCTGGCCACTGGAGTACTAGAAAAGAAGTGCAGTTCTCTGTGCCGACAGAAATTGGCAGAGAGCACATAGCCTGTAAACAGCTCTGTGGAGCTTATTCACCCTGAGTATTGGCTATTCATACTAATGACACTGTGTCTGTAAAAAGCATTTAAATCATGTGCACTGCACTGTTTAAGAAAGCATTGAGTGATGTGATATATTTAAGCTAAATATCCATCAATGACAAGCAACTAGAATAAAACCATGAGTACCTCATTTCAGTTTCTGGGAACAAAAAACTTGGGGGTGCAACTTTCCTCAGCTTTGCCAGACTAGTGTAGTTCTAGTAGTGGCATAGTACAAATCTGCCTTTTTTATTTTATAAATTCTTAATGTGTCAAAAATTATTCATCTGGATGTGAAGAAAATGAATACAAAATCAAAATGCAACCACAGAAAATAATCACAGTTAACCTTTTGCTTCTATCCTTCAGTGACTTCCATATATGTATATTGGAAAAGACAGAAACAGTGGGTTCATACTGCTTATACTGCACATAGGACAGCTTTCCATGCCATAATCACCTCTTGTTTCCCCTTGTGTACGTATGTTTTTTAACCCTAGTAGATTTGTAGTAGAAATAAATAGGGTTTGATTTTCCTGCAGCCATATATTTTCCTATATGGGATCATGAAGAAAATCTTGATGAAAAAAAAATCAAACCTCAGGATTTGAGGTTGTGCAATATTAATTCTTTAGGAAACAGTGCCCACTTAAATCAGATATTTAGAATTAATTATTTAATATGGTAAATCAGAAGTTTCTTGTGTGAATTTATTTATTTTAAGGATCTATTGTAAAATAAAATATTTTTCTTCTATTTAGCCTTCTCAGGATATTCAACAAATACAAAGTATGACCCACACCAAATTAAAGCTGAAATAGCAAGTCGTCGGGATAGGGTGAGTAAAACTAGTATTTTTACAACTAGATTCACCATACACATTCTTCTTCTCTTTTTTAAAATTTTGGTATATTGCAGTTGTACCTAATAGTGAGGTTTATTTTGACATATTCATAAATGTATATAACATAGTTTTCTCCATTTTAATCCCTAATATTATCCCCTTCCCTTCTATCCTCCCCCCATTCACCCCCTTCATCTACTGTATTGGTCTTCCTTTTATTTATTTAATTGGTGCATTATTATATATAAGATTGGAATTTATTGTGATATATTCATGCATGCACATAGCATAATTTGGTCAATTATATTCCCCACTTCTTCCCCTTCACCTCCTATCCTCTCTCATCTTTTATCCCCTGCTGCTTCTCTACTTTTCTCCCTTCTATTTCTGTGAGATCCCCTTGATTTTATTCCTTTTTAATCTCCAGCTTCCACTTTGACTTTCCGGGTCTGTCTTCTTTCTTTCTTTCTTTTTTTTTGGTCTTGTCTTATTTCACTTAGCATGATGTTCTCCAGTTCTATCCATTTTCATTCTTATTCTGAGTAGAGCTCCATTGTGTACATATACCACATTTTCTTTATTCATTCATCTGTTGATGAGACTTGTTCCACTATATGCTTTTTTATGTAAAATTATTAATCATGGTTCATTTTGTGGTTATCAGTGTATCTAACATGTTTTAGTAAGATTTTTAATTTCTTGGTTTATTATTTTTTTTTGTTTGTTTTACTTTCTACTTTTTCCAATAAAAGGAAAAATGTTTCATTTTGAAGCCTTAGCTCACTTGACAAAAGATAGCCTGTATCCCTGTGTATTTCATGGGGCTGGACTCACCAGCTTTGGGGAAGACATGGTGACATCAGGGCCCAGTCTCATAAGGCTACTTCTCTGGACTACAGGGGTGCCAACTTTGACCCTTAGCAGCCTCAGCAACTATTGTTCTCCACTGGGTGACTAGTCCTAGAGGGATGGATTTTGCCACGGTGTTTGACCAGAAGGGTTCAGATGCTCCTTCCCTGGTGATGCCTGGATGCTTCAAGTGTCACCTCATTTTATCCCATCAGACCTTTGTCTTGGCTGTCTAGGAAGGATGACATTTTTTTTTTTTGTAACAGGGATTTAGCACCCAGGGGTGTTGAACCACTGAGCCACATCCCCAGACCTTTTTAATATTTTATTTACAGTCAGGGTCTCATTGAGTTGCTAAGTGCCTCGCTAACCTGCTGAGACTGGCTTGAACTCACGATCCTCCTGCCTCAACCCCCTGAGTTGCTGAGATTACAGGCATGTGCCACCATGCCTGGCTGAAGGGGTCACTTTTGTTGCATGTGTGAAAAAGCACAGGGGACACATTGAGGCCTCTCCTTCTCCTGGTCTGTCATTCTCTGAACCAGGGTATATCTTTTAGGTAGTGGATCTCAAATTTTAGCATAGCTAAGAAAAATACCTGAGAGCTTTGTGAAAGTACACAATTCCAGGCTAACTCCTGGGATTTATGTAGTCCTAGAGCCAGTCCAGAATCTGTTTAGAAAAGCCTAGCAGGCAGTTGAGTTTCAGGTAGTAGAGACCCACCTTTTAGAAACAAAAGTTTCCTAGGTCTAGTAAGTAGAAGGAAGGATAATGAAGTATTACAAGTTTGCTAATTGTAACATAGAAATTGTTACCTCAAAAAAGAAAATAGTTATACAGGTTTCCCACGTGGGTAGGGAACTGTCAGCAACTGGGGATTTTGGTGTCTAAGCAAGGCGGTTCTTCCAGAGTGGTGGTGATTTTATCTGTGTGCAAATGGAAGTTCATGGAGGGAATAGATGATCATTGAAATTGCAAGCAAATTAGAAACTTAAATGACAGTGCAAATAACAACTATAGAAACCATTTTTCACAGCTTGTTTTTGAAAATGGAATTTGTCTTTAGCTTTCCAGATTAAAACGAGAGCTGACCCAGATGAAGCAAGAACTACAGTACAAAGAAAAGGGCGTGGAGACCCTGCAAGAGTGAGTTGCCTGCATGTGTAGATGAGAGCATTTGCCTGTGATTTCCTGTTGTCTTGACTAATTGGGCTCCTGGACACATGTACCCAAAGTTTCATGACCTTTGCTTTTATGCCTTTATTTATGCTTATTCTTTCCCTATCTTATACATCAGAGTCTCTGTGTCTCTTAAAGATTCTTTAATCTTTTAAATGGAAACACTGAGAAAAGAAGACCTTTATTTGTATGTATTATTTGTATGTTCATAGCTCTCCTTTCCAAGGCACACATGACCATTTGCATTTGAATTTGGGTTTTTAAAATTTTATTCTTTTAAAATTTTTATTCTAAAATTTAAATTAATTAAAGTAAAAAATTTAGAATTTAGTTTCTCATTCTCAGTAGCCATGTCTGAAGTGCTCAGTAGTCACATGTGGTTAGTGCACATTTTTTTGCACCATGACACTAGTGTGACATTTTGGACCAGATAACACACTTTGTGAATATCATTCTGTTACTGTAGGATGTTGAACAGCATCCCTGGCTTTTACCTGATAGCTGCCAGTAGCACCCAACCCCTCATTATGACAATTGAAAAGGGCTGCAGATATTCCTAAGTGCCCCCAGTTGAGAACCTCAGGGCTAGTTGATACTCATCGGGTAGCATAGGCAATAGATTTCCATCATCACAGAACTAGCCCTCAGACAGTCTATAAGTCTTCCTGTTCATATCTTTACAATTTTAACTTTATCCCTACCAAGAGTTTCAAGGTGAATTTCTTACCATCAGTGAGCTATATTAAATCAGCAAATTTAATGAACAAACATTGTTGTTTAACAAATGGCTATTATGATGGTCTGAAAGGATTAATTTTGTTAAGAGAGTATTATTGGCTTGTTGACTAAGAGTGCTCTCTTGACTCAGAGCCTGGCTTCACTGGCTAAAATTGGACATGTGCTTCACACTTTCTGAGCCTACTTTTCTTATTTGTAAATGGTGATTATCTTAGTCCACTTAGGTTGCTATATTAAAATACTATTGACTGCATGGCTTGAACAATGGATATTTTTTCACAGTTCTGGAGACTGAAAGTCCAAGACTTCATTCCTAGTACAGGCCTCATTGCTGACTTTCATGTGGTCACTTTTTTTTGCAGTGTCTTCACATGGCTCAGAGAAAAAGCTCTGGATCTCTCTTCCTTTTTCTGAAAGGACACTAATGCCATCATTGGGATCCTACCCTCATTACCTCATCTAAGCCTAATTACCTTCCACTGGCCCCACTTCAAATACTTTCATATTGGGGGTGGGGCTTCAAAATAAGAATCTAGTGTGGGGGATCATAAACACAGAATACATAATAGTGATCACTGTGCTAAATTGTTCAGAGGGTGGTGCCAGGGTCTTGTACCTAGTCAGCCTTCATCAAAGGCAGGAACCCACATGGCTACTATAGTGATGAGGACAAACAATGTGCCATGCTTTGCATTGTGGAGACAGGCTCAATAACAGTGTACCAAATATGACTGCAGTATCTGTCTTTATAGGGAAGTAATAAATGAATGTGAACGACATATGTAATTATCTCTACCTTATTCAAAGGGGAAGACTGGATATAGCAAATCCTGTTGTTTAACATTATGTCAAGATTGACCTCCTTAATTAGTCAGGATTGGGTTGGTTCAGGATTCATTTGTGTCTGTTTTTTCATTAAGGCCATCTAGGCACCTGGGGAGATACAAAGAAAGGGGAGTTGCATAGAGGGGCAAGACTTTCTTGTCCCTGTCCCTCAGGGCTGTTAAAAGATGATGGTTTGTTCAGAAACACTGCCATGCCCCCTGCAGGTGGGTTTTAATAAGCCTATTAACATGAGTGATCTGAATTCTTTTAAAGTCATTGTCCACTTTTTGCTTTCTCTGTTGTTACTCTGATGTGCTGTTACACTTGTGTTTGCATGCTCTTTCCTGTGTTTTAGATCTACTATTTGAGGTTCTTTTAATTATCCCTAGTTAGTAGTACAACCCCCACTCCCCAACCCCCAAAAAGTTCAGTTTTAAGCAAATGAAGCTTCTTTTCCAGTACTGTGATTTTACTGTGATTTTCTTTTTCCAGTATTGTGATTTTACCCCTGACAGTCCAGTCAGGCTCCAGAAACTCCAGCACCTCCTAGGATGCTTTTCTGTGTGTGGTATCTGTGTCATCCTGTGTCACTTCTGCTAAAGAGATTGATAAAGAATAAGTGCAAGCAAGTAATTTGATCTGATAGGTCATCAAGTTGCCCAAACTGTCTAATTGAATTGGAAGGTGATTTCCTACTTTCATTGGGCCCCACAGTAGGTTTCTCTCATTACCCTACAATGTTTATAGATAATATGTCATTTTAACACTAGTCATTGTGTGTGCTGGAGGTTGTCATTTTCATTCTCACTTGCAGAAGCTCTGAGGAAGGTGACTGGGGTTCAGGTACAGTCTGAGGCTACACAGTACCCATGAGGCTCATGGGAGATCCAAGCTTTGTGCTTTTCCATGTTGGCTGTGATTTCTGTATGGGATCACCTGGGCTCAGTGCCTGCTCCTTTGCCTAGGCTCCATCACTCTGGACAGCTCCATTTCCTTATTGAAGTCAAAGGCTATTTGACAATGTCAGTTTAAAACTGAATACTCGAGAAAATGAAATGTGCCAAGAGAAAGGCAGTTCCCCTCACTGGAAAGTAAATCCACCTCTTGTAGTCATCAAGGATAGGAAAAGGCAACCTCTTTTTCTCCAGATGTATGGGGTAGGGGAGCAGGAGTGGGCACAGAGAGATTTAACTTGATCCCCACAGCTAACATGGAGTATGAGTTGTGCTCCTGGAAGAGAGAAGAGCAAAGTTTGTATTTTCTTTCTGCTTTCATTAGCAAGATCCCACATTTGGGAACAGCAATTACAAACTTGCCCTTTGCCAAGGGGAGGCTGCTCGTGCCTGCCAGAGCTCAAGGGAACACTCGCCCTCCCCTGGGGAGGCTGAGGAGTGGCAGTAAAGGCTCTGGACCTGGCCTTGGTCCTGAGGGGCCCACCCCCTGCCATGTGTTCTGCCAATAGGCCAGGCAGCTTTCCCCAGAGGAGCTGCAGAGCAAGGCCTTGCTTAATAGGCATGTTGCCTCTGCTCATTTGAAGATGCATTGTCACTGCATATTTACTTGATTCTGTGACACAACCTCTCAGGAAGAAGAGAACACACGGACATTTATATCACTCTTAAAACTCTTTGTAAGTGAAAAATAATCTGGTAGCCTTTCTATGAGTTCTATAGGCTTTGAGATGAAAACAGTCTCATTGTTTTTCTGATATTGAAGATTTGGCATTTCTTTTTGGGTTCAATCATTCAATTTATGTTATTCATTGAGAAATTTTGAAAACTCTTTTTAAGCATTGAAGATATGGTTACCACACCTCAACTGTGAAATCCTGAATACAAGTACAAATAGTACATAAATGTGAGCTTCTCTGATTTTATTACCAACATCAATTTAAGGCAGTGGCCCTAGATTTTCCTCCAGAAAACTTTCTGCTATTCTTGCTTCCCAGAATCACCAGTGTATTCTTTTCCAGAGCACCTCACCAGGAGTCTGGCTGCTTATAACATTTTAAATTTAACTTGTTTATCTTGGTGAATTTCCTGGCTAGCAAGGAAATCCATCATTATGCTTGAGTCCAAGTGAGGAAAAAAGAACCTTTTGTATTTTAAAAAATATCTGTATATGTTGTTAGTATGTGTAGCAGGGAGCTGGCCATGGATATAGTCTCTGGATTAATGATAGAATATATACATGTGTGTATGTATTATTTATTTTTTAAATATTTCAATGATGGAAAATGTCAAAGATAAACAAAAGAGAGAAAATGGTATAATGAAACCCTCCTGTAAATTTAATCCCAATCTTGGCTCATTTTGTAATCCTGCCCCTTCCCCTAAATTCTTGGTCCCTTATTGAAGAAAACTCCAGAATCACATTTAGATGATATTTACCTCTCCTAAATCTGTGGACTCCTTTTAAAAACATAACTCTAATACTCATACTCCACTTGTTAGGCATCCCTTCTCTAGCCACACTGTCCTATTTCTCTATTGTTTGGGTTCAGATTCATCTGAGGCCCACACATTGTCTTTCCATCTTGCCTCCTCCATTTTGTTTGCCTGAGAACTTATTTGTTGATGAAAGTAATTTGCTTGTCCTGTAGAACTTCCCTGATTTGGATTTTGCAGCTTGAATTCCTGGAGCATTGTTGAACACATTCCTCTGTTCCCTGTGATTTATGTACATGGGTATAATTTGAGGGTCAGCTTCTGATTCAGGGTTGACTTCCTTTCTTTCTTCCTCTTATCTCTCTCTCTTTCTTAATGTCCATAACAATGTTCTATAGGTGGTGGTACTTCCATCAGGGGGCACATACTCTCTGGTTATCTTTTTTTCTGCTGTGAAGATTATCACAGCTTTCTTGGTCTGCTGCATCCATTTATAGTAATTGCTATCTAGGTCTTCACCTGATATTGTACATGTGTATCTTTCAGGGTAAAGTCCCTGTTTTCCATGGCTTTGCCAATAGAATGTATCAACAAGTTTCTGCATTTTTGCCAGCCTCAATGATGAAAGTATCTCAGTGTAGTGTTAATTTGCATTTCTCTTGAGGTACTCTGTGAAAATCTTCAAAAATAGGAGCATCATTTATAATAGATAATGAAGGTTTGCAGAAATATTGAGCACTTCCAGCAAAAGATGTTCTAGACTCTGTTTCCCTTATTTTCTGAAGCTTTTTGAAAAATCACCTTAATATAACTTACCACTAGTGTCCAGAGGCAAATGGAATGAGGCAGAACTAAGATGTAGGCAATGTTTCCCACATGGGTGATCCATAAGAATAGGCTGAGCATGTCAATAGGTGTGAGGAGATTGCTCTTTGTGTTTCCCTACTGGAGATCTAGGATGCACTTTGAGTTAGATTCTGAGTTGTCTTGATCCAGGAAGTTCATTTAACATGGCTT